AGACTGTACGGTCACAGGGCGAGGGAGGTTGGACTTGGCATTCCAGCTCTGGGAAAGGGATGAGTGCATAGTTTCTATTATATTAAAGGGGGTGAGCTGGATGGAACCTGCCATTGCGGGAGGGGGGGGCAGTTGACTGCCATTTGGCTGGGTGCATGGCAATGTATCTCATGGGTGGGAAGGAAGGGCCTGAATAGACTATGCCATTTGAAGGGGGTGTTGAATAGACTTACCATCTTGGGGTATGGGGGTTGAAAAATGCTCCATTTCTAGTTCTGCTGAGCCCATGCTCTTGCATCTCCACTGTCTTAATTTTCTTCCCATCTTCGAGTGCCGGCGCTGGCCAAAAGGCATCCCGGGTATCACATCGTGCCCTCAATACTAGGCATGACTTAAAATATTTTACAGTTCCCTGGGGGGTTTGTTATTTTTTTAATTACTATTTTATTGGTGGGAGTAGTGGGATATTTTTAATTTAAACCTTAATTTATTTGTAGCAACTCACGCCATACGGTGACTGTAGTAACCGGGTGCACAATTGTTGTCTCTTAGATACAGCGGCGATGTAGTTACTGTGAGAGGAATTGGGGTTGGGAATGGACACCAGGGGTTATTTTTGAGGGAGGAGGAATTTGGGGGAAGGGGTTGAGTAAAAAAACAAGAAATTAAATGACTATATTTAAAATAATTTGGTTTAAAGCTGCCCTCCCTCTTCCTCTCTCTCTCTTCCCCCCCCCCCCCTTATTTTCGTTTGCTGGATAAGTCTGTATTCAATAAAGAGATACTTTCATGTCACTGGGTTGTGCAGATTCCATTCACAAAGTGTTAGGCTGTGAAGGTGGGAGAAAGGGCATGTAGATGGGGGGCTGGGAGTCAGAACACCTGGGTTCTTTTTGCAGTCACTGATTTGTTCTGTGACCTTGGGCAGGTTGCAGATTACTGGGTTGTTCTATTGGTATGTAAAATGCACTCACCACAGCTGGTGGCAGAGTTAATTGCTGGACTGCAGTAGATGAGGGCAAAGTATTAACTCCTCATTGGGCAAAGAGAGAGATACAAGAGTTGAAAAGCAGGGTGGGAAGAGCGCTGCGGCTAGGCTATGGAGTTTGATGGGTAGAGGATGCTAGTGGCTCCCTCTGTTGAGGGAGGGGCAGACCTATGGAGTTCAGAGATTGCTCTAAATCCTTCTGCAGGGGATGGAAGCAAGAAGGCCAACCATGCTCGCTGTGCTTGGGCTGAGTGCTGGCCTGTTACCCCCTGCCAACAAGCAGAGCAAAGACGGATACCAGTGTCCTAGTGGTGAGCACCCAGTAATGAATAGGTGCCAACTCTCCCCCAGCAAGAATAAAAACCAGCACTATTTGCTCCCTACAGCCTAGGAAGGGCTGGCCTTGTGGGTACAGCTCTGTGGTGAGACCCTGGAGCCCTGGCTTCAAATCCTAGTTGTGTGTGTGGTGTTTTCCCCATCTCTAAGAGGGGGATCATAGCGTTTCCAGCAGGGTATAATCCCAATCACGCTTGGACGGGTCAGATACTCTAGGGGGTTGCAAGGACTCTAATGCCTGAGCTAATAACGATCTCCATTTGCTGTTCCACTAGCAGGGCTGTTATCCTGCCCCACTAGGCTGTGCTCTAGTCACATTCCAGGGCACAGCTCTGACTGTCTCCAGAAGGTTTCAGAGTAGCAGCCGTGTTAGTCTGTATCCGCAAAAAGAACAGGAGTACTTGTGGCACCTTAGAGACTAACAAATTTATTAGAGCATAAGCTTTCGTGGGCTACAACCCACTTCTTCGGATGCATATAGAGTGAAACATATATTGAGGAGAGAGATATATATACACACATACAGAGTATCTCTCCAGAAGAGGGCAGCAGCAATCACCCCACTGAAGAGCCTGTATATCCCAAACAGTCATGCAATCAGCAGATGGGGTTGGGGCAGTCCCTAGTAGGCAAAGGATGCCATTTAGCTCTGCACAGTGTGACCCATATGTGAGAGGTCATGATGCATGGACGATGCCGTTTTGCTCTACAGCCTGGTATCCTTCACACAGTGTGACCTTGCATGCTCCATATGGATGAGATCACACTGCAGAGTCTGCCATTTTTGTAGAGCAAAATGGCTGCCTCTATGCAGCATGACCTTGCATGTACAGGGGATGCATGGTCTTAGTCGCTGTGCAGATAATACCCTTTTGCTCTTCAAAATGGTGCCCTCCATGCAGGCTGGGGTCCCGGCAGGAAATACTTTGTTAAAATGCACTTGTGCCAGCAAAACTTTGGGAAGTGCTGATCTATATGGTTTGCTTTTAACTTGGTCCCTTTTGCTTCCCTCTCTCTCCTCCCCCCCCCCCCCCCCCCCAATCCAAGGGCAGGGATTCTTGTATTAAATACATCATTCCCCATGCCACAGGCAGTTGTATGTCGGAGGAGGCTGAAGAACCCCATCCTGTGGCTGCCCCACAGGGAACCTTCTCACCAGCTCTGCACCTCCAGCCGCTACTGGAACATCTACCCCAGCATAACCCATTGCATGTCTTTCTGCAGGTGCTGATGCTGGGGGCGGGGGGGCATTTTCACCCATGTGCCACGAGGGGAAGGGGAATTGGTGAACTGAACCATCAGCCAGTGCGTTGGCTCAGGGGTGGTACCAGTAGGAGGCCCCCTCCAGGAGGATGCTGGGGAAGCAGAGGTGGGGCACCTGTGGGACTCTGCCCCTGGAGGATGCTGGGAAAATAGAGGCATAGCATTGAGATTCAAGCCACAAATACATCTTCAGCAGGCAGACCACTTCCAATTGGCCAGCAGGCTTCCAAAGGGGGTGTTGCCTTCCCCATTAGGCAGCCAATGAGTTGCCCTTGCAAGTGTGTCTGTCTACCAGTCAGCAGGAGCACCTGCCCCCTATCGACCCATGAGGCAGTGGGTCCCCTACCATGGATGAGCGCTGAAGGCTTTGAATCCTTTCTAGCCTGGATGCCCTAGCAGGGCAGCAGCTGCCAGCCACTCACTGGCCTGCAGGGACCTCCATCGATCATGCCCCCCGTGGCTTGTTGCTGCCCCTGCAGGAGTGGCCTGGACTGATAGCAGCCAGGGGTGGGTGGGTGTGACAGAGCCTTTGGGGGGGCAGGTCTCCTTGTATCCTCCCACCAGTGTACTCTAATCAGAATAAAGTTTTCTATCGGGAGTCTGGTTCCTTGACACACAAATCAGCCCCACACTGGTCTCTGCCCCCTGCCCCTGCTCCCATGTTTAGTTCCCCTCTGCCACACCCCCACCATGTGTGCAGAGAGGAGTTTGCCGTGAAGGCCAAGTGGTTCCTGGCTTGGGAACACAATGGCTTGAGCTCATTGGGAGTGGGGTGGGGGCTACAGATCAGACTTCTGAACCATTGACCTGGCTGGGAGATGAGGCCCTTTACACAACCAGACTGTGGGTCCAGGACATCAGCTCAGCAAGAGGCTATAAACAGGAGAGGACCAAGTGGCTACCCCAGCCCAGAGTCCCCTTCCCTCCTTTGATGGTGTTAGCCTTTCCACCAGTGCAGTGAAGGTTGCGATCCCTGTTTTAAAGAGCAGGAAACTGAGACACGGAGTGACAGCAGTCACATGTTGAGAATATAATAGAACTCATGTGTTCTGGCTCCCCTCTTCACTTGCTCTAACCCACTAGACCCCACTCCTCTCCCAGAACCAGGGATGGAACCATCTAAGGATTTAACGCCTATGAAGTGAGAACTAAGAGGAGATGCTGTTTCTTGCAGCCAGCAGAACTCCTGGCCACCAGGACTGTAGGGGATCCAAGATGACTGGGATTTTTTTAAAGTGCTGCTTAATTTTAGCAGCTGGGACTGACACCTTTAAGCAGCCCAGCTGGAAAGGTTTGTTTGGCACAGAAACTGCTGGGCAGGCTAAAGTTTCTTCAACAAGATCATTTATTTTAATAGCTCACATACTGTAGCACTCAGCGAGAGAGTGGGAGCACAGGTAGCCTTATCCCCAATATAGCATTATTATTCATATTAGCGTCACAGCTAGAGACCTTGACCAAGATCCGGGCCCCATCAGGCCATGTAGTGCACAGACATAGTGAAAGGGAGTTCTTGCCTTAAGAGCTCACAATCTAAATAGGCAAATGATGGGAGAAGAAACCGAAGCACAGTAAGAAGAAAGAACGTGCACATGGTCACACAGCAGGTCAGAACAACTAGATCCCATATCGTCTGCGTATCAAACACAGCCCTCTGGCTACCCCACTACACCCTCTGGTAGCTATACCAGCTCCCACTGGCCTTTTCCCAGGTGTGGGTGAGGTGAGATGTGTGCAGGGTGGAGCGATGTCTCTAGCTCTGCCTCTGGCACTCCCATATAAAAATGAGCAACGGGGACCTACTTTCCTTCCATAGACTCCCTAGGAGGCCTAGGTTCAGGTTCAGAACTAGGATGCTCTGCTTGGTAAATAAAGGGACCTTAAAGGGTTCCCTTTGTTATGGGGTCAGGATTCAGGCATGTCCTTGCCGGGATCTTTCCTGAGAGTGACAATCAACTCTCAGGGTCCAAGGCATGAGCTGATCTCTTCTCTAGGGGTCAGGAAGGAACATATTTTATGCTCTAGCCAGGTACATTAACCTGAGATCAGGTATTAGCTTCTTGGCAGCACAGCAGAGGGGAAAGGAGCCCATGAATTTTTCTGACTAGGGCCAGCGTACAGGCAGCACCCATTTACAGCCCTGCTTGTGTTGGGGAGCCTGGCTCTATGGTTTGTCCAGCTGGGGGCTGTCTGCTGATGGTATCTGTTTGCAAAGACAAACCTACAGCAGCAGCAAGCTGGCAAATTGAAGCTCTTGGTAAAGCTGGGAGCAGATGTGGTGCCCCCTGGTGGTGGCAAAGCAAGCTTGGTATGGACTGCAGTAGCCCCTGCTGACACATGTTAATATGCACAGTTCTAGACAAGCCCAGCCTGTGGTTCCTGGGTGTCGCAGGAGAGGGCTTCCCTGGCCCAGTCAGTATCGGGAGAGACGGCACATGTCGCACTGGCAGCTCGTGGCAGTGAAGATCTCTATCTCTTCGTGGCGGATGGCCCCGCAATGCAGGCGGACTTTGATCTGTGGCGGGGGGATGGGAGGGTGAGAGAGGGACTGGCGCCAACCCCCTATGCCCTCCTTGAATTCCAGGCCCTGGTGCAAGTTAGAGCAGGTGCCACTTCCCATGATCCCTTGGGGGCAGAGAATAGCCAGAGAATGGTGCATTCTGGCTGGCAGGGATGGATTCTGAAAGGGCCACAGAGTAGCCCTGAGATTCCAGCCAGCGCTGAAGATCCCCTCTCGTGAGCGCTGTGCCGGACCAGGGTGCGCTGCACCTGTGTCAGTCACATCACTCGCGTGGCTGTAGTGTGCACTAAATCCTCAATGTAGCTGAGAATCGGCCCTGCTGTGTCCATCCAGCTTTCCCCTATGTGCTTCGATCCCAGCTGCTGTCTCTGAGACCTGGTGAATCATTGGGGAGCTACTGGATTCCCCAATACCTGTGTGTCTGCTAAAGGATCCCCCTCTTTCTTGCTTCTATCTATCATCCCATGCACCCGGGAGTCCCGTGTGCCCCGGTCTGGCTGAGTTTGTGGGAAGACTTATACCAGGCCTGGGCCCACATTGTGGAGCAGGATCTATGGCATATCCCCCAGCCCCGCTCACCTTCTGCATCTTGCTGATGGTGCAGCACTGGGACACAGAGGTGACGTTGTGTTTGAAGCTGCTGGCCAGCAGGACGGAGTACTTGGAGGGGAAGGCGCTGGATTCGCAGTAGCCCACACAGGCCTGGACCATATGGGTCCCACGGCAGGTCCCACGGCGGTCGCTCTTGATGGTTACATCAAATGCTGTGGGGAGAAGGGGGAGTTCAGTCTTCATGGCCCAGCCAGCCCTCAACCTCTGTGCTGATGAGCTAGGGGCTGGGCTGAGAGCCAACTAACTCATTCCACACCAGGGCCACAGAGCGGGAAGGACCCTACTTGCTTGGGATTTGAACTGGCGACTTTAGAATCCAAAAGACCCATCCCCTGCACTGAACACTCAAGTGGATTTACAGCCATGAGCATCCCTGTAAAGTACAGGTGTGCAAAAGTCAACTGTGGGGGCCAGGGAGCTATAGTGGGTAGAGCAGAGGGGCTAGGAGCCGAGACTCCTGGGCTCTATCCTGGTTCTGTCACAGACTATGCTTGACCTCAGGGCCAAGTCACCTCCCCTTGCTGTGCGTCGGTTTCCCAGATTGTAAAATGCAGCAATTTCATGAGTCCCCGGGAAGGGGGTCAGCATCAGACCCAGAGTTAGGGAGATCCTGGCTCCCCGGGGCCATGTTCAGCCCTGGCACTGCTCCATTTCCCCCCTCCTCTGTCCTTACGGTGCAGATGGCAGCCGGGCCCGATGGCCTCGTAGCTCCAGCGTGGGGAAGCCGTCAGGATCAGCAGCAGGGAGATGATGGCAGCGTGGCAGGATGGCATGGTGCATGGGCTCTGCAATGGGAATGGCACAGGCTCAGGGTGCAGAGTCAGGGCAGCAGGAGGTGGGGAGCGAAGGGGCTGCTCTGATTAGAATAGTGCATGAGCTGCATGCATGTGTGCACAGCCACCCTCTGCTGGCTGGAATCTGAACCTCTGAGCCGTGTGTCCTAGCTCCTATACTGCTAATGGGGATTCTTCCTGAGTGGAAGGGCTCTAGCCTTTGGGAACAGAAGAGACTGGGATATGCTGAGACAAAGGCCATAGACCAAGCTTCAGAGTCTGGGCTGTCCCTATCCCCCCTCCCCACACACTTAGGTTCAGAGATTCCAAAGCTAGAAGGGACCATTGCGATCATCTGTCCTGACCCCCTGTACAGCACAGGCCAGAGAACTTCCCCAAAATCATTCCTAGAGCAGATCTTTTAGAAAAACATCCAACCTTGATTTAAAATGGTCCATGATGGAAAATCCACCACTGCCCTGGAGAAGTTGTGCCAATAGTTAATTATCCTCACTGATGAAAATGTGTGCCTTATTTTCAGTCTTTCTCTGCTAGACTCAGGAGCCCATTATTCAATATTTGTTCCCCATGTCGGTACTGCTAGACTGTGATCAAGTCCCCCTTTCACCTTCTCTTTGATAAGCTAGATAGATTGAGCTCCTGGAGTCTCTCACTGTCACCCAGGTTTTCTAACCCTTTAATCCTTCTTGTGGTTCTTCTCTAAATCCTCTGCACTTTATCCACATCCTTCGTGAACTGTGGACGCCAGAAAGGGACAGGATGTTCTGGCCATGCTAGTGCCAACTAGAGAGTCAAAATAACCTCTTTACTTCTATTCAAGATTCCCTGCTCGATGAATCCAAGTATCACATTAGCCCTTTTGGCCACAGCATCACACTGGGAGCTCTCATTCAGCTGATTCTCCACCCCCCAAATCTTTTTCAGAGCCGCAGCTTCCCAGTATGGAGTCCCTCCTCAAGTAATCTGTTTAGTCCTTTTAAAGCACATATTGTTTGCTTGTGCCCACTTCCTGGAATTTTAGCCTTGTACAGTTCTACCTGGCGTAAAACTGGAACTGCAAATACAGTAAAATAGATTTTCATTTTTTCCTATAGCAAGCTCTTTCAACTCAACTTCTCTTGTGAATCAAAAGCGCAGTGATCAAAGGGGCATTGATTAGTATGCAGGGACTGGGAGTCAGGACTCCTAGGTTCTACCACTAACTCTTGGAGAGGGGTTTAGTGGTTAGAGCGGTGGGCTGGGCATCCTGGGTTCTAGTCCCAGCTCTGGGAGGCAAGTTGGCTAGCGCAAGCGTGTGAGCCTGGGATTATTCCCTCTAACGACGATTCTCTCTTCACCTACAAACTCCTCCTGCCTCAAGGACTGAAAGGACCTGGGAACCTGCTCTGCCTTCAGTGCAGCTCAGAACCCAGCTGTTCTGCCCCCTTCAATTCCCCCCAGCCAGGAGTGTATCCTACCATCTGTATGTGGCTGGCAGGAAGTCCGCAGCAGAGGGTGTTAGCCGCTGTCTCGCACCGGGATCCTGTTGGGCAGCTCCCGAGTCATGGTATCCTCCTGCAAGCCCTCCCAGGTGCTATATCTAGCTCAGGTATTTGCATCTCCACACCTCAGCCTGCCCCTTTGGGTCTCTTACTTTTCCCATCTCCACCCTCTGCCCCGCCCCCACCAGCCCTCCCAGCTAAGACAAATAAATTGCTCTCTGGATTTCCAGAGCCACTTGCTTTTTCAGAGATCCCACCCCATCAACTTCCATCAGCTTCTTAGGCCAAGCCCTTCTTACTGCCGGCTTAAAAGGGGCTTTGGAGCTGGGTAAAAATAGACCACTCGTGGTTACAATAAACTCCCTTCCCCTTAGAACCATCAATTCGGGGGCAGCACAACAAATAGTTTGTTAGCGTAGAGAGTGCGTGTGCATGTGCATGACAGAAAGTGCCACTGCCCTCTGCTGGATGGAATTGAAAAGACTCAAGCATGTGTCATAAGCCCCATATTGCTAACAGACAATGGGGATTATCTGTGAACTCCAGGCCTGCCCTTGTAGAAGGAAAGGCCTGGAGCTCTAGCCAGCACAGCTGTGCATACTGTCTAGAGACAACAGGGGTGTTGCTAGATTTGTACGTCTTATTTTGATCCTCCTGAAATGACATGTTTGAAATGGATTTAGTGGCGTTGTCTATGCAGTGCCCAAAGTCAGACCCCTCTATGTCCCCAGAGGCAGGGCTACAATGTGCTTTATTGCTTCATGTTTTGGTATTCAATATCACACAATTGTAGCAGCTGATGGATCTTATATTTGACAGCATCTTCCATTCTGATAGATCTCCGAGCACAGTGCAAACTGTGTATACACCCCATTTTACCTCCCAATGAGATGCATCTGCTTCTGGGAGGTAGTGAGACTTATACACCCACCAGTGAGCTGCAGCAGCTATTTAACAGCACTGAGCCAGGGGACTTTTAATGAGAGTTGAGGACGTGGGTCTTGCATCTCATCTGATGTACCAGATGCTGCGATCCAAAGAACTAATGAATGGCAAGCGCCCCCTCAGACCAAGCAAACTGTGCTTCTGCAATGATGTCTTCCTGCAGGCAGCCTTCCAGCTCAGGAGCACAGTAAGTCCCTTGCCAGACACCCCGGCATGCATCTTACTACCGGTGCATTAGGGAGATAATTGCGTTGCCTTTGCAAAATGTGCCCATTTCTTGCTAATAACAATTTCTCCAGACTGGTGCAGGGTCACTCCAGGTCACAGCTCTGGCTCCACTGGCAGCCCAGCAAAGAACAATGGCTTGTCCTCGTCCAGTGGCTCGTCTCGGAGTGCCTGGGTGTATTAATTAATCACTGGCTCCTAGAACCCAGCTCTGCGATAGACTCCCTGGGTGACCTCGGGTGGGTGACCACCCCTCTTTGGGCCTCAGTTTCCCCATCTGTGATTAAAGGGATAATTATAAGCTAAATAAATAAGATAAAAGATGAATTATCATCCTCATGTTCCAGGTGGGGAAACTGAGGCCCAGAGAGATTTCAGGGTCACCCAGGGCGTCTATGCAGAGCCAGAACCTAGATCTCCTGAGCCCCAGCCCCATACCTTAAACCTCAAAATCCCTGCTCTTCTCCATCCGTCACTGAGCGGTCTCTTGCTTGATATGGGATGGTGCTAGCTCTGCAGAGACCCCGGCACCTTCCAGGAAAAGCATAGGCAAGGAGACAGTGTTGTACAATGGCTAGTATGCTGGGCTGGAACTCGGGCCACCTGGGTTTAGTCCTGGCTGTGCTGCAGCCCTTGGGTGACGTCACTTCCTCCTTTAGTACCCTAGAAACAAGAATTAACCTTTCTGGCTCTGCTCTGGGGGTAGGGTGACCAGACAGCAAATGTGAAAAATCGGGACGGGGGTGGGGGGTAATAGGTGCCTATATAAGAAAAAGCCCCAAATATTGGGACTGTCCCTATAAAATCGGGACATCTGGTCACCCTATCTGGGGGTGGGTCACATTAATGATGGGGAAACTGAGGCACGAAGCTGGGGAAGTGACTAGCCCGAGGTGAAATGGTGAGTCAGTTCTCAGAGCAATGGATTCCAACCGACGAAGGTGTAGCGAGATCAAGTGGCTGGAAGATAAAACTAGGCAAATTCAGACTGGAAGCAGGGCACAAATGTTTAACAGTGAGGGGGAATTCACCACCTCCCAAAGGAAGGGCTGTGGATTCTCTATCACATCCAATCTTGATTTAAAAATTGTCGGTATTTCTAGCAGGTCTGCTCTGGTTCACACAGGAGGTAATGCAGGGATGTCTTGTGGCCTGTGCTGTACAGGAGGTCAGACCAGATGATCCCAGTGGTCCCTTCTGGCCTTATCGACTAGGAAAACGGCTGCCTTCGCCTAATCTTTACTGACAGGTTTGATCTTGCTTCTGAAAGCTGAATGAAAATCTGCCACCCGGGCGGGGAGAGGGTGGGGGGATCCTTCCCAAAAGAACAAAGCTGCTACTATAGAACAAAGGGATCCCCGTGTCTCCTCTGGAGGAGGTTAAATCCAGCTGTGGGGGTGACAGGCAGTTGAACCCAGGCTGGAAATGGCTGAAGTTGACCAATGGGGGAAGGGGAGATCTCGGGGAGAGGGGATTTGTTTTAAAGATTCTTTTTCAAACCAAAACAACAACTTGGGTGGTTTTGTTTGGGGTTTTTTATTTGCTATGCATGGTAGGGCAAGATCGTTAGAGGCCCTGGCCAGGATCAGGACCTCCACTTGGGCCAGACACTGCACAGACCCTGACCGAGACTGGGGGGGCCCCCATTTTGCTGGGCACCATACACACCCCTGCCCAAGATCGGGCCTTCCCTTGTGCCAGGCCGTCCCTGCCCCAAAGAGGTCACAGTCTACATAGATAAAAGAAGGTGAATTAGCCTTGCTTTTTAGGTGAAAACTGAGGCACAGAGTGGGGAAGTGACTTGCCCAAGGCTACCTAAGGAGTCAGTGGCAGAGACAAGAATCAAACCCAGCCCTCCTGTGGCTTAGTCCAGTGACCCTTAGCTACAAGACCATCCTTCCTACTGTAAGAATAGCACTGGCCTGTCTTTATCTAGGGGTTTATGGATTTAGGATCCTGACTTTTATAATCTTAAAGATCAAATTTTCCAAACTGCCTATGCCCCATTTTCAAAAGTGACTTGGGCTCTGAGGAGTCATTTTGAAAATGGGGCATAAGCGTCTTTGGAGAATGTGATTTCCCCCTGGCCTCTATATTGGTGGGGTCACTAAACCAGACACTAACTCGATTAGCAGAGCTCTGCACAGCCCTAAAGCACTGAGGGCTCTTAACACCTCTCCCTCCAAGCCAATTAAATCTTTAATTCCAGGAGAATTGAATTAAACTAAAGGGGGTTGTGACTTAACATGTTGGAAGAGAGCAGGGAGAAAGCTCCAGTTCTTTACCAGCAACTATTTATATCACCCAGACATATTTTAGGTATCGGATTAAGTTCAATATATAAACCTGCCATTGTTGGATTGAGTCTTGGGGCCAAGCTTTTTCTAAATGGAGGGTTGGCTCAGAAAGCTTAATGCTGCGTAAAGAAAGTGGAATTTGGCCAGAAGGGCTGAGATGTCAGATTTCCCTGGATAAAGAGGGCTTTGAAAAGCTGGTGTGACTGAGTCGGGATCTTTGTGAGGCGATCATCGGCTAGCGGCACGTCTGCTTGTGCATTTCAGCTCAATCCATCCATCTCTGGGGTAGAGCAGGGCAGCTGTTTGACAGGCAAGAGTTTAGGGGAGGAAATTAAGGATTTCGAAACAACGAAGGGTTAGTTAAGGAGGCAAAACGCTGGGCTGGGATGCCAAGGTTCATGCCCTGGCTGGGGGAAGTGCCACTGGATCTCTGAAGCCCACAAGGGCCGTGGCTTCATGTTGAATTTCAGATGAGACAACTCTGAGACCACAGTCCTGCCTTGCGATTCTGGCCTGTAAACAGCTCCTCACTTTGAGCTGTTCCTTGCTTATGTTTCCCAAGGGCTCAGGACCCCCAATTGGGCCTGATTTCCAGATTTTGCTTTGCTACAAGCCCAGTTGTGGATGCTGAGCCCTCAGAAACCTTGCCCTGGGCTCTTTGGAAAAATCTCACCCTTGCCAGCTGGTTTGCAGTGCAGTAAGCAGATCCTCCGTCAGCTATTTCCAAGTGCAGCGTGGGTCACATCTGGCACTGGCCAGCTTCTACTCTGGCAGAGATCAGGATTTGGCCCTTGGTCCCAGGGAAGAAAGCACAAGATCACTGCAGAAAAGTAACTGTATCCTGTATCAAGCCATCTTTAGCATCCCTGAGCTTACAATTCATTCTGTAAGCAAAGCCATAGATGCGTGCATGTGCACGTACCGGTCCCAGGGCCTCGTCAAACTTATGGGAAATGATCATGCAAAAAGAGTCGTTATAATACATATTTAATGGGGCTATTTCTGTATTACTCTCAGCCTGTGGAAATACCAACTGCCCGCTCACCTTTAGTGCATTCAAGGAGCCAAGAACATGTCAATATCCCTCTGCTTTTTTTCTCTCTCCTATGTGCTCATTGGCACACTCCCCCAATCACTGTAGTGTCTAGGCACCGCCTGGTCTTGAATGGATTTATCCCCATACACCCCCTGTGAGGCAGAGCACTAGAGAGGGTGAAACTGAGGCACAGAGGCTAGTTTGCCCAAGATCACACAGGGAACCGGTGACAGAACAGGGAATTGAACCCTGGTCTACCCATGACCCAGGTTAGGGGCCCTAACAACTGACCCATCCTTGCTCTCTGGTTGTTTAATTGCTCTATGTTGCATCTGTGGGGTGTGGTTTTTAAAGGGGAGGTCTTGGGAAGTTTGTAGCAAGAGAAGTGGATTGTGGTTTGCATGAAAGAAAGGTCCAAGTAGCCAAGTTCTGTTCTGGATTGGAACACCCCAGAGTCCAGGGAAGGAGGGAGGGAGTTTGAATCGAGCCTTTTATTTGCTGTGTAAGCAGCAGAATAGGTTAATACCAAGGCAGAATCTGCTCTGCCTCCACTGAAGCCAA